GTGAGCCTAAATATCTCCGATCTCGTAGTCTCCACTCGGGGCTCCTAAATCTAGACACGCCAGACAGGTAGGTTGGTCTCCATGGCAACTGCAGTCTCTAGACATTTCTGTGAGAATGTACAATGTATTATTATCTCATGGTGGATATGTAGCGTAGAGAAAATTCCTTACTTTCATACTAACCTCTGTAGTCAACGGTGATGGCTCATGAATATTCATACTGATTTGCATACATATTTATCCAGCATTAAGCTACAGAATTCAGCATATGATGCCTGTCTTTAAAAAGGGATGATTCATATCATGATCACGAAATCTACTGCATTACAATAGATATTGGTGGGCTTATTACAGGACATGTTGGATTATACAACCTGCTTTTAGCCTTTTTTGTTTCTGAGGAAGTTTGAAAAAGATTGTCCTGTGCTTTAATGATTGTTTCATTCAGCAAAGCACTTAACTCCAATTTCTTTGGATAGCATGTGACATGCATCTCATACTTTCAGTTAGTTAGCTGTCAGGTACTTAAAGACACCCTCATGTTGACAAGGCAATAAACCCTACATACTTATTTTAAAAAAAACCCAATGTGACTGTTAAGTATTAATACTATTTACTGAATGTGGGCTTATTTGCTGAATAAACATCGTAGAAAATCAGATGTAATTGATGGACAGCATTTCAATCTTACTAACTTGCCTGTAAAATGATAACCAGCTTTGTACATTATATTTCACTAATCAAAAAGAATGATGAATATTAATACTAATTTGTATATGAATTGATTCACTAATAAAATGAAAAGTTTTAACATTCTAGAAAATGCAGGATTAATATTAGACTTGCTTGTAAAGTCATCCCCCTGTACCTCAACATTAATATATAGAAGTGGACTCTAGCTGTCGATCTGTTTCAATGTAGATAGTATGAATACTAAAATAATTCATCTTCATCACATATGCTTCTCACTCTCATTATGATTTCAAATAATTATATATAATATCAGGATGATGAAAAATATATTGCAAATTCACCACATTCACCCCTGACCCCCAACCCTACTCAAAAACAACCAGAAGAAAACAAAAAAGAACACAAATGTTTGCCTTTTCTCTAGGTTTGTTCACCATTTATACAACGTTGTAAGGTTATGGCGGCCTTTAGTTTCTGCATCTCGGTTCAAACTTTGATTTAGATCTATTTTGCCTTTAACTTCATTTCACATCAAAAGATTCTGTATTTTGCTCCATTCTGTTGAAGAATACGCAAGCATATATGTCTGTGTTTCACAAATGTCATTTTTGAAATGTAGGTCACTGTGACCTATTTTTGTACATTTTACTGAATTAGGGTCGAGTGTGTATGTAGCTCTTTATGTTGTGTTATATATAGATTATAGCTGCATTTGATTCATTCATTCTCTGTTTAAGTTATAATTTTGAGACGGCCAGAGTAGGCATATGCATATTTTTCACAAATTTTTAGAAAATTTTGTCAACCAATTTATTTTCCTGTATCTGGCATGTTTTATGTATACTTTTAGACTGAATATATTAATTAGGTCAGCAATGTTAAGCATATTTTATTGTAAAGGTTAGGATTTTAATTGGAATATATCATTACCAGGGGGCTGTACTGTTGTTCCTAAGCAGTGCTTTCAAAGTGGACAATATTTTGTCACTTATCAGTTACTTAAAACTGCGTTATTTTGTTAATGAAAATCTTAGGGAGACAAAGTGTCACATACTGACAATAACATGCTGCAGTATAGTTAGAGTTATGACCCTTTGTTTTGAAACCTCTTCTGTGATACTGACCGTGGGGAGTTACTTGTAGTTAGTTCCATCTGCCTATACTGATAGGTTCTATACTATTTGATATATGAATTTTCTTTCAGGTGAACTTTGTAAATATTAGGTCGCTGTGATCTGAATATCCCCCATAATTAATTTTTGTTTAAATTTTTGTTTTAACTTGTATTTACAACAAGCTGTTAGTTGGCATGTTGTTTTGTCCTATGCCTTTGACAAGTTGAGGTTGGTGTTTTAGCCCAAGGTTTATAGTCAGATAAGTTTTCTACCCTGTCTACAATTGCTGTTACTATGAGGAGTGTTATTTTAGCCAGATTGGAAAGGTGAAAGTTCAAGGTCATTGCCTAAGATTAGAAAGTTATTAGAAGTTTTAAGTAAATAATTCAGTTGGTGTCCATGTATTATTAATTTCATTTTGAAATTGTTTGAAAGATTGGATCAACATTTAGTAAAACTGAATTAAGGACAAACTTACAAATGTACTATAGCATTCTGGCATCTCTTTATACAAGCTTTGCAGGCTAAGCTATAATATTAGTTTTACAAAAACAAAACGTTAAATCCACTAATCATTATTAATGAAAAAGTTACTTTTAAAAGTACAAATTCAGCATCTGTATTGTTTCAGCAAATGCTTGATCAAGTGAGGTATGCTTTTAACATACTTTGTTTTCTGGTGATTCATATTATGAGAAATAGTAACTATGAGGAAATATTTACAAAGTAATCAGATAAAGATTTGATCTTGATTTCACAAAGCCATGATCATGTGACAGTCATCCTGCACTCTCTGTAAACTTTGAAATGCTACTCCTTAACATCTAAGTGGATTTCAACCAAATCTGGTCAGAAACATATTATAAGGGATGGTCAATGAGTTCCTATATTTAGAAAGTTGTTTTCAAACCTGAAAATAAGGGGTAGGGGCCCCAAATCGGGAATTTGGCTAAAATTTTGCTTTAATATGCTACTCTTCCATAACACCTGAGTAGATTTTGATCCCACTCAGTCTGAATCATCACTTGGGGAAGACAGTTATTTTTAGCCCACCATCATCTTCCATGGTCTGCATATTTCAACATTTCAACCAAATTTGATCTAAATCACCACATAGATATGCCAACGAGCCTCATGTCATGTAACATGTCAACACCACTCATGCCTGGAAGTGTAATCAATCTTTCCTGTTTCATTTCATGACAGTCATAACAGGCATGGGGTTAAAGGTCATGGGCCCATTTGTTAGCTTTACATTGTTTTTCCTGATATTTGTACTTAACTGCTATTTTATCCTTTGTAACTTGAATACTGATGTCATTCAACCTTAAGTTACTTTTAAACTCGCTCTGTTCTAGCAGATCTAAATTACTAAATCTTTATAACGAAATTGACACAGAAAGCTTCCTTTTATTTTACAGTAATAGTACACTGAAATATTGACAGGTATTTTACAGTACACTGAAATATTGACAGGTATTTTACAGTGATAGTACCCTGAAATATTGACAGGTATTTTACAGTAATAGTACACTGAAATATCGACAGGTATTTTACAGTGATAGTACCCTGAAATATTGACAGGTATTTTACAGTAATAGTACACTGAAATATTGACAGGTATTTTACAGTGATAGTACCCTGAAATATTGACAGGTATTTTACAGTAATAGTACACTGAAATATTGACAGGTATTTTACAGTAATAGTACACTGAAATATTGACAGGTATTTTACAGTAATAGTACACTGAAATATTGACAGGTATTTTACAGTAATAGTACACTGAAATATTGACAGGTATTTTACAGTAATAGTACACTGAAATATTGACAGGTATTTTACAGTAATAGTACACTGAAATATTGACAGGTATTTTACAGTAATAGTACACTGAAATATTGACAAGTATTTTACAGTACACTGAAATATTGACAGGTATTTTACAGTAATAGTACACTGAAATATTGACAGGTATTTTACAGTACACTGAAATATTGACAGGTATTTTACAGTAATAGTACACTGAAATATCGACAGGTATTTTACAGTACACTGAAATATTGACAGGTATTTTACAGTAATAGTACACTGAAATATTGACAGGTATTTTACAGTAATAGTACACTGAAATATGGACAGGTATTTTACAGTACACTGAAATATTGACAGGTATTTTACAGTAATAGTACACTGAAATATTGACAGGTATTTTACAGTAATAGTACACTGAAATATTGACAGGTATTTTACAGTACACTGAAATATTGACAGGTATTTTACAGTAATAGTACACTGAAATATTGACAGGTATTTTACAGTAATAGTACACTGAAATATCGACAGGTATTTTACAGTACACTGAAATATTGACAGGTATTTTACAGTAATAGTACACTGAAATATCGACAGGTATTTTACAGTAATAGTACACTGAAATATTGACAGGTATTTTACAGTAATAGTACACTGAAATATCGACAGGTATTTTACAGTAATAGTACACTGAAATATTGACAGGTATTTTACAGTAATAGTACACTGAAATATGGACAGGTATTTTACAGTAATAGTACACTGAAATATGGACAGGTATTTTACAGTAATAGTACACTGAAATATTGACAGGTATTTTACAGTAATAGTACACTGAAATATTGACAGGTATTTTACAGTACACTGAAATATTGACAGGTATTTTACAGTAATAGTACACTGAAATATGGACAGGTATTTTACAGTAATAGTACACTGAAGTATTGACAGGTATTTTACAGTAATAGTACACTGAAATATTGACAGGTAATTTACTTTTATATAGTATGGATCTCCTTATAAAGGCTTTTTATACATTCTTTTGCCCACAGGCCAAATAGCGAGTTTAGCAGGTGAGATTTAATTGACCTACAAATCAACCAGACATCATGTATTTTAGCAGGCTAGGGTTGGTTTACTGCTTTCTATACATTTCTTGTAATGCAAGAGCCAGTTTTTTTTCTACTTTTTTCTTATTTTGTAACATCAATTTTTTCCTATTGTTAATATGTCTGATGTGTTTCTGATGCTTTGCTAGCTCTGATACAGAGCCTAACCATCACATGTCTCATCCAGTCGCTAGTTCTCATGTAGTTGTCGGCAACTATTTAGCACTCTGGTAGTTTCTTTAGAGGACTTGGGTCATATTGTTTGTAGGACAAATCTTGATGGGTTTCGGAAGCGTGCTGATTCTGATGGCAAATTCCAACGTAGCGAGTATCTTCAGAAACGGTGAGTATGGTGGACTTCATTAAATACTCCACTTAAGAACGACCAGAGGACTGCCTGCTCATTTTGTTCCCTTCCTCCTTAGCTTTGTATGTTGTGTTGCTTTCTGCATCCAGCATTAGCTGTGAGTATATGTGGCAAAATCTTCCAACAATGGACAGATGAACCTTGTCTAAATAATTCACATCTTTTCTCCTCATTCATTGTCATATATTTCTTTAGTTCTCAAGAAGTTGCTGGCAATAAAATTGAACTACACATGAATGAATGTAGCTGAGCACTCAGCCAGTTTTTTTTTTCTTTTCTTAAAAAAAGGATGAAAAGATTAAACAAAATCAAAATTTCTGTCTTCTTTAGTAGTTGTGTCATGATTGGATCAGATTTTTCACAGATTGGGCAAAGGTATTTGGCTCTTTAAATTAGTGTCCAATTTTTGTGAGAAAGGAGATCACTTTTAGTAACATTTTGTTTTCTGTGTTAAATATGATCGTAATATAAAAAAAATCAGCATTGACAAATTGAATACCAGCAATTTCTTTTTGTATTTTTTCTTTTTCAAAGGGTTTTTTTTTTTGCTTAAATGTTTTCTTCTTAGGAGTTTCCTGTGATATCAGATCATTTAGTTTACTTGAATGTGTTACAACTGAATCTCAGTGCTCCAACAGTATATCTCTGTAATTGCTAACTTCGGTATATTTTTTGTTTCGGTCATAAATCATGTGGACTAATTATGCAAATGATGTCAACTTTTGTTACAAATTGATGTGTTAGTGTTACACTTAAAATGTTACATTTACTTATTTCCTCCTTCATAAAACTGAATTCATCACCAAAACATTCATTTTGATTAGTGGCTTTGACCTTAGAGCTTAATTTGCGTATTTAGCAAACACAAGAAGTTTTGTTTTCACAAGTAGATTTAGAGCTGAATATATTAGTTATACTTCATTTTACATGAGACCTTGAGAGGTATGTTATGTAAAGTGGATTTATATATTTATTGAAACATTCATGAAGTTTTTATAACATTTTCAGAGCAAATTAATATTTACCTGCAATGTAATTATATACAAAGCAATTAATCCTCATATTTGTAATAAATGTATTAACATAGTGTGCATGTAAAAAATATGCTAAATTTCATAAAATTTCTTTTACAATTTTAATACCTGACACCATTTTAAAGATATGATCAGCAGTTGAAAACAGAAATTAAAGTGGTTCAGATTTTAAATGTACATATATTTAAATACAGATCCTCGTTAACTGAACTCTGCCAGTGCATGATCAGCTCCTCACCTATATACTTTCCTGCATCTAGAAATGAAACTTTACACTCCTTTGTTTACAGCGTTGCATCTACTCACGTTATGTTGCACTTAACTGTAAGAAAATTGTACTTCAGCAAAACCTGTGTAATCCATTGATAGATATATACATCATATATATAATTTTTTTTCAACTTATTTGATCTTTGTCTTTAAACTTCATTTTATTCTTCACAAACAATTCTTAACAGCTCAATGATTGGAGGATTGGAATCAATATACTGATATTAAATTGCACTCCATAAAACCCTATCATCAAGGAATGACCTCCATGCTATAGAGACAACCATCGAGACGAAGTTGTCCTTGCCCGTCTTCAGATGGGCCATACATACCTTACATATTCATACATGTTGAAAGGCGAAAATAATCCTCGATGCATAGGATGTGATGAGCCATTCACTGTTAAACATTTTTTATTGGACTGCGCTGACCTTCTGTTTACTCGTTTGCTCGTAACATCACAAGACTAAAGACCCATTTTGAACCTGATCGTATTTATAAAATTCTAGGTTATCTGAAGGATATCGCTTATCATTAAAGATTTTTAGCATTTGTCTTTTACCTTTTAGTTTGTATGATCTTATTTCCTTTTGGATCGCTCTGTCTTTCACCGGTTGATGGCTCTAATGACCTTTTATTTGTTGATGGGCCGTTAAGATCGAATAATAATAATTGATTAAAACTTGTAAGGATACAGTGTTTGGTTTAAAAATGTTTAGCCTTATTTCTCTAATGTTTTGTCCATTTTTTTTTTCTAGTTATAATTTTTTTTAATTTTGAAGAAAAAGCATCTTGTACTAACAGAGTTGATATTGTTATAGAACTTTTTGGGGGAACCTGAGGTACACTGTTACTCTGTTCACTTATAATGGATCATCAGCATGTCCCTGTGTGTAATATTACTACTTCATGATGATGTAACATACTTATGTTGATAATAAGACTTTGACGTGTCGTGCTATGTCAATTGTATATATACACAATTGTGACCATCAAAACACATTTGTTATCGTCTTGTCAGCACAGGCACTTTAAGTATTCATCACAGATTTTAGTGGCTTATGCTATACTCCTTAAACAGTGGTTTGTTCATCAATGGTTAGAGACATTTAATAAAATGATTAACAAATGGTCAGTGATTATTTCTTGATCTTATTAATTAAGGGACATCAGAAAGCAGAGTAATTTTCCATTGTCTTGTCAACTAATTTATCAAGATGAATTAAATTTTTAGATCATGGATAAAAAACCCTGTTTGTTGATGATTTCAATACTTTGTTTTAAGGATTTGTAGATATTACAGGATTCTTTTTAAAATTCCACCCGGACCATTATCAATATAACAGTGCTATTCTACCATATAGCACCTGTAAAGATATTAGCTGAAATGTATAGATATAACTCTGACAGATCTACACTGAAATCTGTGGATGTGACGATTATATATATCTGCTGAAATCTAGATATCTACTGAAGAATGGAAATATCAAAATTCCTATATTTATCCAATGAGATTGCAGTTAACACACTGATAGTTGTAGATCTTCACTGTAGGATATATATCATACTGACAAGAACAGATATCAAATTGACTATGAAAGATGTCCGTATTTGTAGAATATCTCACCCTGACACTGTAGATATCACCTCACATCTGTAGATGTCACCATCAGTAGAAATTACCTTGACAACCATATCACTTGAAATCTGAAAATACAGCTATCTGTCGACTACTTTCAAGACTTCTATAGATATCACCTGAAATCTGAAGATGTCTCCATCTGTAAAATGTCTCTATGAACAACCATAGATATCCCTTGATGTCTGTTCATGTCACAATATATGGTACCACCCTGACAACCATAGATATCCCCTTAAATATCTCAGTGTCACCATCTGTGGAAAATTGCCCTGACATCTATAGATATCCCCTTCAATATCTCAGTGTCACCATCTGTGGAAAATTGCCCTGACATCTATAGATATCCCCTTAAATATCTCAGTGTCACCATCTGTGGAAAATTGCCCTGACATCTATAGATATCCCCTTCAATATCTCAGTGTCACCATCTGTGGAAAATTGCCCTGACATCTATAGATATCCCCTTAAATATCTCAGTGTCACCATCTGTGGAAAATTGCCCTGACATCTATAGATATCCCCTTAAATATCTCAGTGTCACCATCTGTGGAAAATTGCCCTGATATCTATAGATATCCCCTGCAATCTGCAGCCATCCTTAGAATGTTGCTATGACATGTTTTAGATATTCACTTGAACCTGTAGATGTGCCCTCTGTAGAACATCGCTCTGGACAACTATAGATATCCCCTAATATTTGTGGATGTTGCTCTCTGTAGAATATCACTCTGGACAACTATAGATATCCCCTAATATTTGTGGATGTTGCTCTCTGTAGAATATCACTCTGGACAACTATAGATATCCCCTAATATTTGTGGATGTTGCTCTCTGTAGAATATCGCTCTGGACAACTATAGATATCCCCTAATATTTGTGGATGTTGCTCTCTGTAGAATATCACTCTGGACAACTATAGATATCCCCTTAGATTTGTGGATGTTGCTCTCTGTAGAACATCGCTCTCTGGAGATATCCCCTAATATTTGTGGAATATTTGTGGATGTTGCTCTCTGTAGAATATCACTCTGGACAACTATAGATATCCCCTAATATTTGTGGATGTTGCTCTCTGTAGAATATCACTCTGGACAACTATAGATATCCCCTAATATTTGTGGATGTTGCTCTCTGTAGAATATCACTCCGGACAACTATAGATATCCCCTAATATTTGTGGATGTTGCTCTCTGTAGAATATCGCTCTGGACAACTATAGATATCCCCTTAGATTTGTGGATGTTGCTCTCTGTAGAATATCGCTCTGGACAACTATAGATATCCCCTGAAATATGGGGATGTCAGCATCTTTAGAATATCATCCTGACAATTAGAAAAAAGTTCAACATGATTAATGTCTGTAAACAATGGGCTGGGGTCTCACATTGATTTTAGACACTAATACATTTCTAACAAAACACTGTTAACCTGGTGGTGATGGGATTCATGGGATTGCATGCTATTGCTGGGTTAATTTAAAAGATAAAACAATTAATGATCTGACCAATTAACAATTACTAGGATTTTAATTAATGTATTTCAAGAATGATGGACAGGTTATGTAATAAAACAAAAATAAGATATCATTGGATAACCGGTTATAGGAGTTAAAAGATATCTTAACAGGTTACAAAGAACTATTACATAATAATAACTATACCTGATGTTCCTAATGACATTTCCAGAATATTAATGTATGTGTAATTTTAATTAATCATTTTCAGCTGAAATGTTTCTTTCATTTAAATAATACTTTCCTTTTAAAGGAAATTTATGTTTAAGAAAACTGAAATTTGATAAAATACTGCCATAAGAAGGATGACAGATTATGATGTTCTTTTCAGATTTTTCAATTTCATTTATAAGTGTTTGTTTAGGTTGTTAGCATGTTTTGCTATAGAGATATAAAGTACTTTGTGTTTATCAAGTTTTGCCTATGTATGTATTGTTGTAATTATACTCTTTCATGATGCTAAAACATGGCTGTTTCAGCTGATATACTTCAGCTTATTTTATTGTATCAGTGGCAAAAACAGTTTAATAAAACTGATTATTTATTTACGAAATTTCAAAAAAAAAAATTTTAAAAATCATTGAAATATTCCTGTTTTTCACATCGTGATAGAAAGAAAAGGGCAAAATTGAACTTGGAGGCAATATAGTGTATTATGCAAATGAATAGACAGTAGCATGTAATGCATACAACATTGATTTCAGGTCTCCATCCCCTCTCCGGTCACCTTCCCCTAGGTCATACTACAGGTAACACACACCTGTTTAGTCATGTCAACAGCCACATTTACATACTAGGCCACTCCTTCTTAGGTATTGTCTAGTGTCACAGGCTTCTAACCTACACTTGTGATCAGCATGACCATACAAAATTTTGTTTAAATTTCAAATCACAGCTTCATTGTTTAAATGTTTGTTTGATTCGGATTTTATTTCAAACTTAATTTATTGGTTTATATTTGTGTTTTTCCTTTCTGTTTTGGTTTTACAAAATTGTCTCATTGGTGAACTACATTCATCTTGAAATGTTTTGATTTTCTCAGCTAGTTAACAAGGCATTTTCAAGGTACTGTAAGCCCTGTCTTTACTGACCCCTGAATGTTCTGAAATATTGTCCTTTTTGATTATCTTGTATCTTGTGATATCAAAATCTGACCCAAACATTTCAGATCAAGAAAACAGTGAAAATTAATATTTGAAGAAAATGAATGGTCATATTAACATGTTTCACATTTGTATGGTGGTTCTTTCCAAATCTCGGCTCTTCAAGGAAGGGAGGTAATTTTTGTGTGTGGTGTTGGCGTGTTTTTGCGTGTCAGTAACTAAAGTACAAAAGATCTATCTGCTGAGGTGTCAAGGAACATAGAATATAACGGTGACTTTATTTTAGTAATCCTTCTGTAATTATAAAGTATTTCAAAATAATATAAAATTCTAATACACTTGAATTTCAAAAGTCAAATATATAGTAATGTGGACAAAGGCTTTTAAAGAATTCCCGAGAAACATGGCACTTGAATGTTCACCTTATTCATACTTATTGCTGTACACTCATTTCCTCATTGAGGAATAGAAAATCTTACAAGATTGATTTTCTCAGATTGTGTAGATATGTATTTACAATGACATATCTTCTAATCCACCTCCTTCTGGTAATGTTTTATTACATATCACTGGATAATATTCATTCAGAAATGTTTTAATTTTAATTAGTCCTTGATTAATATTTATTACAAATTTGAATATATTCAAATGAAACAGGTTAATTAACCTCTTGCCATTTAATGAAGCTTGATAAATTTACTAGAAAAATACAGCTATATATTCTTGCCATGTAAATAATATTAAGTTCTACATTTAACACTTTGAAATAAAAAAACTACAGGATCGTGTATTTCACTTTCATTTCTTGGTTTTGCGGTTCTCGAGCTCCACCTAATATTGAAAGTAACTTTGAAAAATATCTTAACCATAATTATGAAAATGTATGTAATGAAACCAATTACATTTCAAACAAACACACTAATATTCTTTGAACACTTGCATTTATCTGTACAAAAACTTTTTGTGATATTTGGTTGAAAACATGGATGGGTTATTGCTTACGTAGATAAACCTTATAGAAGTCATTAACTGTATTCATGTTTCTAGAGCACTTGTTAGTCATGGCTAAGTGATATTACCTGCCAACCTTTCTTGAAGTCGAGAGCATTGAAGTGTGATAGCTATGTAGTTATTTTCTTCTCTCTCACCACCTTAAAATTTGATGTTTCTTGTGTTTTTACCCAATCTTTACCTTACAGTAACCCAAGCCTTTTATTTTTATCACATCTGTTCATATTTCACATCAAATGGACTAACTCATGATAAATACGTTTTTGAAGGCATTATACTTAACTGTACTTCAAAATCGTAAAGTCAATCTTAATACTTCAGATTTTACAGGCCTTATGAATGTTTTGTGGTGTTGTCTTATAATGTTGATGTTGGTTTTGTAGATATTTTCTGTATGAATCTCTTGCATCATCTGAAAATAAAAACAAACAAATAACCGAGAACATAACGAAAGAAGAAATCAGTGTGTGAGTTTTGGGAATGTAGCTGATGCAGAGTCACTTTTGTAATATTGAGGATACCTCTTGTTTTTAAAACAGCACAAACTTTTCATGTGTCTTGTACTAACATTGTTTATAAATATTAATTGGCATAGATGCTTTAGATTTCAGTCTATTAATCCCATATGCCCTTATATGGATGCATCCCTAATTAGTACAGTGTCCTTCCCTATCAGTCAATGTTTTACTTTCCTCTGTCTTCTTAGGTACTACAATGACTCCATTTTCTAGGTCACCTGAGAGTCTCATGGTGACATGGATTACTTATTAAAAAATGAAGAGTTTTGAGTCCATGGCTGATATGGCAAATTCTACCTGGTCAAAATGCCCTATTCATACACCTATGATTACTTGAATAAAAACTTAGATGCAAAAAAATGGTAGAAAAACATGTAATTTTGTTTCTTTCTTCTGGATTACTTTCAAGTCAACGCTGTAGATTTTATTTCATTTTCACTGACCTCCGTTGACCTTTCGGGTTCCTTGTAAATATCATTTTGCTTTTGAAAAAAATGTTAAAAGGCCATTGATTAGGTGGAAGTTTAGGAAGTTTTGATAATTTTGGGTTTGGGGCAGTCTTGCCGTTTATTATTCTGTCTAGATCATCAGAGCTATTATATTAGAGCATGGTATAATAATGAAACCGGACGATTCCATACACAGCAGGGTTGATTAAATTTCAGATTTCATTATGTTTATTTGGTTATTAGAATATATGCAAAGTCTGAATCACCAAGACTTGTAAACATAACAAACTGTGTTAGAAATGACCCTATTGAATAAAGACAGTGGGTCATATTTACAATTTAGGGATCAGTTTGTTGCTTCAATAAAATCAAGCAGCGTCATTTCTGAAACACGTGGGCCAATGGCACAAAATCTTGGTTCATCCATAGTGCAGCCATAAACTTTTTACATTTTCAGCTTCTTCTGGAAAACTCCTGAATTAATTTCTGTGAAATTGCCAAATGTTAATTGAAGGTGTAAATTATATGGTCCTTACTTCCGAAGGGACAGAGGGGCAGGGCCAAAAACGGTCAAGTTGACTCATATTTCAAAAACCTTCTTTTCAATACCCAAATATGGAAGATCAAATACTCTTCATGGATGGAGGGGTCATCAGGTGTTTTATCAAAGTTATAAAAATTCATGCTTAGAATTGTTCATATAGGATCACAGTTTGATATTATGCATGTATTGACCTTGACTAACCCCAAGGGCTGATGGGTGTGGCCAAAAAAAAGGGTCAAATTGAATGTAATTTCAAAAAACTTCTTAATATCCAAATATGGTAGAATCGAATACACTTCATGAATAGAAAGGCCTTATTGGCTGTTTTACCAAACCCTAAAGTCAGTTTACAATACTTGATAAGGTTTCTGTTATGTCATGAAATTTATACAGTAATTAGTTACAACTTCAGTAAAACTCTTCTGTCCTTTTACAAATAGCATTTCTCTTTTTCTCTGTCACTACACATTCATTCCCTATTGTTGGTGAGTTAACTCATGTGACGGTGTAGGCTATGGGTCTCTTGTCTCATGTTCTCTGTTACTACACATTCAGCAGGCTATGGGTCTCCTGTCTCATTTTTCTTTGGCTTTAATATCCTCATACCAAGTACTCTTCTGTTTAACTTTTCTTCTGATCCCCCATGTCATGTCCTGATCTCCCATGTCATGTCCTGATCTCCCATGTCATGTCCTGATCCCCCATGTCATGTCCTGATCCCCCATGTCATGTCCTGATCCTCCATGTCATGTCCTGATCCTCCATGCCATGTCCTGATCTCCCATGTCATGTCCTGATCCCCATGATCCCCCATGTCATGTCCTGATCCCCCATGTCATGTCCTGATCTCCCATGTCATGTCCTGATCCCCATGATCCCCCATGTCATGTCCTGATCCCCCATGTCATGTCCTGATCCCCCATGTCATGTCCTGATCCTCCATGCCATGTCCTGATCCCCCATGTCATGTCCTGATCCCCCATGGCATGTCCTTTGTCCTCAATATCTCCATACCAAGTACTCTTCTGTTTAACTTCACCTCTGATCCCCATGTCTTGTCCTGATCCCCCATGTCATGTCCTGATCCCCCATGTCATGTCCTTTCTTCACTCTCTCCTTTTTGCTGTTGTTCTTTATTCATCTTTTTCAAGTCTGTATTATCTTATTCTTCTATTTCAAGCATCCATATTTGGACAACACATTCTCTGAGTGCCCATCACTTTCCTTCTTAGTAGATCTTTTGACTTTTTTACTTTGATTTAAAATGTGAATAATTATGATACACTTGTAGTTGACAATTTCATGATTGTTGTAATCATTTTCTTCGTGAAACTTGAGACTGTTGATTTCTGATGTCTTTATATTGTCACACATTGTTTCAATGTTTATTTCTGTTTTTGTAACGTGTTTCATTTTAGCCTTTTAGATGACCTATTGTAAATTTAATTGCTGATTGTATTTTAGTATTAAATGCATTCTTCACTTCAATTAGAAATGCACATTTGATTCGTGAACATTTATTGCTGACAGATAAATCTCTTACATTCATCACTTCATTTACATGTTTATAGACATATTAATTATCCCTGTATTTTCATTTTAAATTTTCTTTCCTGTTTGGATTATAATTATTTGAATATTTTTCTGATTGAAATCTGCTTAATGTCATTGATTGAATAAACTATTTTTTTCAGTATGGAGTTTGGGGGGCTGTCAGCTAGCTCCAGTATGACAAACCTGTCTCCAGATGTCAGTGAGACAGAACACAGTTCAGCAGACAGCATGGGAAGAGAGTTTGGATTTTATCTACTCAGGAAAGACTCTGAAAGACGGATAACACTAGTTCACATCCTTGATTTGGATACAGATAAGGTGAGAATATTGTTTTGTAGAAAGCTGTCAATCTGTGAATACTGTGCTACAAAAACAAACAGAAAAACTTCGTGTTTTGTTATAGAGGTCATCACAAAGTGGCCGTTTCAAATAAAAGATTAAATTTCGCTGTTTGTGCCACGGTGTACCATGCTTTTGTAGCTCATACTTCATTTAACCATAATCAGTGACAGGAAACTGATATATCGTCAGCCTTATTTGGACACTTTGTTTTAGTCGAAATTTGGACAAGTCAAAATATTTCCCACAGTGCCTTGAAGTCCATGATAACCAGTTTTAACTGTATCAACAAACAAAAAAAAAAGCGAAAATTAAAAAAAAAAGTTTTTAAAAAATTAAATAGATTTCTTTGTATGAAACTTAATCTTTGGAAGAAAAACACTGAAGTAGATGATGATCATTAAGATTTCAAAATTCCATTACTACTTAAATAGTTCTGGCCTCAATTTTGGTTTTCGTAAAATTCTGTTTAATTATAATATAAATAGCAATATAGCTGATGTGGAACCACTGAAATATGTCCATATTCCTTTGTTTAGGCAGTTGAAAATACTTGTTACGCATGAGTGAGAAATTTAGTGAGGTGACCAGTCACATGGTACATGCGATGTCAAAGTAATAGTTCAGCAGACCATGTCTGATATGTTAACACATCATCAGATGGTAGGTGATTTCAGTCACCCTGTCCCTGGTGCGTTGTTCCTCTATTATCAGTTATTGTTATTACCATTTCTTGAGAAGTACTAGATGGCAGGCAGCCATTTTTGATTTTTTTTATTATAAAGTCTGGTATTGCTATTACTTGAGAAGTACCCACTTTGTCCTTAGTTGTGCCTGCTGAATTTTTTAACTGATCAGAAAAATGGCGAACAGGTGATCATCTTGAACTTTGACTTTGAATGTGTGAACAACTGACATCCATAGGTGTATAGTTAAATAAAGAAGAGGCATGTTGCCTTACCTGATCATACAACTGCTGCTTACTCATGTTCCCTCATCAGTAAAGTGTTCTCAAAGTTTCATTGAGATGGTATTCTGACATGGGCCTTGTGTAGAAACCATTTGTTAAATAACTTTAAGTGTCTTTGAACAAACATGTGAATGAGACAGATACCATTTGTGATGAAACAGAGAGGTATAAATTAATAAGAAATAACAAAAAAGCAATGTTATTCATTTCTACAAGTAAACAATTCAGATCTTAATTTGACCTTCAAACTTTAAACTCCAGGATTCTAGATCAGATACTTTGGAATTGTAGTTGTATAAAAATATTTCTATGAATTTATATTTAAACTAAGATGCATTGTATTTTTATTTGATAGATCTGTAAGACTTGGCTAGACCTACTACATAAAGATGCAACCATCTCCAACCCTAAAATAACTGTGGTAAGTATTGCATTTATAAAACAAAGGATTCTTCATTGGATAACTCATGAACAGTGACTTGGTCAGGAAAATATTGAGAATGAATTAACCCCATATAAATGATGTTCATATCATGTATTTTGTAATCAACACTTTACATTAAAACAGGAGTCAACCAGTTATATAAAAAGAGAAAAATATGTTTTAGAATAACATTATGTGAACAGAGTTTGACATTAAAAGGTATTCTTAGAATTATGTTATATTAACAGAAAGTGGACATAAAGAGGTAATTTATCGGTAGATTAAGAGAAATTTGGCATGAAAAGACATTCTGAATAATAACATTATGATAACAGAAGTTGAACTTTTAGAGGTAAATATATATCGTATAAAACATTATATTAACAGAAAGTTGACATTAAGAGGTATTTTGAAAATTATCATTAGATTAAGAGAAATTTGACACCAACAGGTATCCTGAATACAGGTTCAGTTTAAGAGAAATTGCTTAGAGTGAAGTCTTTTCAATCAGATTTTATGAGATTTAGGTATCAACTAAGCAGTTATGTTTAAAACCATTCATATGACAAACAGATATGTTTTCCAATAAGAAGTTATGACATTGTGATATTTATTTTGCAGGAACACCTACAGCCACTGCTATGTGGACTACGCACCTACATACAGGACCAAAATGCCAATGTCATCAGTGAAACTCTAGGTAAGTAGCTGTGTAAGGGAACACTTCTTGTGTATATAAAACATAGATTTACAATCAGATAGTAGTTACTCATTCTTATCAGGCAGTATGTTGCTAATGGAGGCATTCATAAGCATGAAGCTGGATGACACCATTGCCACTTGTTGGACCAGTGTCTACAACTATCAAAATAACCCAACTCTCTGAACCTCACATCAGACAGGGGGCAGGCTCCTCATCTGAAACAATGGTTTCAACAGGGAAACTCAGAAGAACTAAAAAATAGAAAATAATGTTATTTTACGATTACACATATATATGTACATGCTGATGGTAAAGAGATCAGAAAACTGATAAATTACAATCAAACAGGAAAAGAAGAGGGAAATATAGATTTGATATACATTTAAATTGTTTTTGATATTATATCTACAGATAAGCTGAAAATCCAAGTGGACTTTGATGTGACGGCCATTATGGAGATAAAACTGGCTCTTTATGTCTTTCATGAGGCTGTAAGTGTATTTGGTAGACTTTATAACTCAGAGGCACTCTATGCTTGAAAGCTTATGTTATATTGAAGGATCCAGCAATCATCTGTTGATCATTACCTGTGTGTAAATTTCCCTCATATCGATTGACTTTGAACTATTTTCCAAGTCACAGGGGTGAAATATGTTTAAATATTAGAAAAAGAATTTTTCAGCACCCAGAGTCCAGATATTATGCCTGTAAGTACCAAGGATGGAATGCTGTAAAGCTTCCTTATATAAATGATCTTGTTCTATTTTCAAGGTCATAAGTGTAAAAGATATTTAAAACATTTCATAGTTTTCTTCTGAGCTCCAAGAAATCCCCAAATCCTGATAGAATTACAAGATAGAGATGTAGGGCTGTATTCTGTTAATCCTAAATCTATAGTGTTTTATCCACTGTTTTATGCGTATGTCTGTTGAAAACCAAAAGAACAAAAAACAAGTGATCTCTACTGTAGTGATCATATTAAACACCAGTTTGTCATTGACACATTAGTTTATGATTTTAAATACACTTATTGGATATACATGTACAGATGCAAACTACAAGTTTTATTTTATTCTGTTTTGTGTTATACGCTCTTCTGGTGCTTTACATGTTAAGTTTTGCTGCAGTTATGTTGCCAGGGCAACAAAGAACAGCTCAGTGCTATCAATGTTATATCAATGTAGAATATTCCTGAGTACATAATTATTGTTTTATTTTAAAATATTGTTGATGGGACTTGTTAATCTCTTAATACAAATATGAGTAGAGTATTGGTATTACCTTAGGGTGTGTATCCACTGCTGTAATATAATGATTAGTGTTTCACATTACATGTTTAATAGTCTTATCACTGTTTATTTAAATAAAAGGTATCATTAACATATAAGATTATGAAATGCTTTCATTTATTTATTACTTCTTCAATACTGTTACGCCATGCTATCAGACATGTATCCAGTAAACAACTGATTTGCAATGCCTTATTGAAATACGACTATGTCAAACCATCAGATAAATCAAATATTTCATTTGGTCCTGTTGACTTTGACTTGTGTGTATTCGTTTTTGTATCAGATTGGGTGATGATATAATAGGACTTATTTGAGTATTGAACTTTGAGCTTTTCGTTTGAATTATTGTAAAATGAAATTGTTGACACATTTTAATTTAGGTTGGCAAATGTCTAAAGTCCCACAATATCCAGCCTCATTGGATGTTCGCACTTGACAATCTCCTACGCAGTGCGGTTCAACGAGCCATCACCATTTTGTCCCCAGGTAAGATTACAATCTTTCTGTACCTAAAAAGCATTTACATTGATTTCTCCAAGACATTTCATAGCCCCAGCTTCACCCTGGGAACTACATAACTATAGGCTCTGTAAGCAACACCCAGGGAACTACAAAACTATAGGCTCTGTATATACCACCCTGGGAACTACATAACTATAGGCTTTGTAAGCAACACCCAGGGAACTACATAACTATAGGCTCTGTAAGCAACACCCAGGGAACTACAAAACTATAGGCTCTGTAAGCAACACCCAGGGAACTACAAAACTATAGGCTCTGTATATACCACCCTGAGAACTACAGAAATGTAGGCTCTGTATATACCACCCTGGGAACTACAGAAATGTAGGCTCTGTATATACCACCCTGGGAACTACAAAACTGTAGGCTTTAAATGCACCACCCTGGGAACTACAGAACTGTAGGTTCTGTATATACCACCCTGGGAACTACAGAAATGTAGGCTCTGTATATACCACCCTGGGAACTACAAAACTGTAGGCTTTAAATGCACCACCCTGGGAACTACAGAACTGTAGGTTCTGTATATACCACCCTGGGAACTACAGAAATGTAGGCTCTGTATATACCACCCTGGGAACTACAAAACTGTAGGCTTTAAATGCACCACCCTGGGAACTACAGAACTGTAGGCTCTGTATATACCACCCTGGGAACTACAAAACTGTAGGCTTTAAATGCACCACCCTGGGAACTACAAAACTGTAGGCTTTAAATGCACCACCCTGGGAACTACAGAACTGTAGGCTTTAAATGCACCACCCTGGGAACTACAGAACTGTAGGCTTTAAATGCACCACCCTGGGAACTACAAAACTGTAGGACTTAAATGCACCACCCTGGGAACTACAGAACTGTAGGCTTTAAATGCACCACCCTGGGAACTACAGAACTGTAGGCAATTGTTGTAAAATAAATAAAGTTTATATTTTATATATATACCACCCTGGGAGCTACAGAACTGTAGGCTTTAAATGCACCACCCTGGAAACTACAGAACTGAAGGCTTTAAATGCACCACCCTGGGAATTACAGAACTGTAGGCTCTGTATATACCATCCTGGGAACTACAGAACTGTAGGCTCTATGTGTCATCCGCAAATTAAGCAGATTGACTTACTTGAAAGTGTTACAATTACATGCACAGCTGTGATATTTTTGATAAATGATAGAAGATACCACTATTATCTGTAAAAGGATTCCCAGAAATAGACCAGGTTCTCTGTCTGGAACTAATCACATGATTTACTCCGTGTCTTTAATCTCACTCAAAGATATTCATAGGATGGGGAAAAAAGTGTGACCTTGCTATTTCATAGATACCAAACATATAAGTTTGACCAGTGTCTATTTTGACCTCCAGTTTTGACCACTTTCTTTCTTTGGCCATTAAGTATGACCACTGCCCACTTGCTTATTTTTGTACAATATCCGACATTAAGTCTGCAGTGGTTTTGATACTGATAGAAGCATAAATTTGAATTTTGTACATTGATTTGCAAATTCACATTTCTATTCCATTCCTTACATATATGTTGCATTTTACTCATCTCTATATATGTTGTGTTTCATTTGATTCTTAGATTTTGAAAAAATGAACAGAAGTAAAAACACATGATCTTAGAGACATGCCAGTTACCTGTTATTTATCTGTATACAGTATGTCACATTTTATCCATGAGAACTTTTTCTCCTAAAGTGTCTTGTCTTGTAAATAAATTGCTAACTTGACTAGGAAGTGTGGTTGTTTACAGAGTTAGGAGCCAGTCTGTCAGTTGGTAGTAAGGAAGAAGAGGTAGATACATCAGGTGTTCCGTCCACAAACTCTAACAAGTCCGCCCTGGCATACCGACCTAGTCCTGAAACTGCCGAGCTTCGCACACAGCTTGACAATATTGAAGATGATAACCTGAGGTTTGTACTGAAAGTTTAAGGGGCTCTTAAAAGTTAGGATTCCTGAAAACACATTCAGTAGCTGTTGCTCTATATACAGCTTTACAAAGTCTGGGTCAGACTTAAAAGTTTAACTCCAGCAGATTAATTTTCTATATATGCCTTACAGTTATAAATCTTCATGTCTAGCTATAGCTTGGGGTTTATCAATGTAATAAAGGTCACTGTTACCTTTATATCTACTTTACAGCTGTAAACACTTAACTCATTGTAGACATGTCTTTTGAACAGACTGTGTTAAATGAATAGATATACTTTATTTACAGATTACTTCATGAATTAATTGATGTTAACCGTTCCTATGGCAACCTACTCCGAAAGTCAATAGACGAAAAGAAACTCCATATAGAATATGTAAAGTAAGTTCCAATAAACTTCACTGCCTGATATTGTAGAGTGTATGCGATGTATGGGAATGCTGTATTTGTTCTAATAAACACCCTTGAAGGAGTAGATTAAAAAAATTAAGCTTGTTTTATCATTGTTTAACTTTCAGAAAATTGGTCTTCATATGTTTTGTTAAGTATGTGTCTAAAATTGTATCAGTTGATTCTACCTGAAAGAAGTAATTTTTAATTCATCATGTAATTATACTGAAAAAGTAATTAATTTTCAAATTTGCAAATATGAAAAAGATGATATTTATCACCTGAAAGAAATTCTACAGATACTTATATGGGAAATGGTTATCACGAATTCTGCTTGTACATCCTTGTCCATTTTTTTTGTCCCAAATGCTAACTTTATGGAAGTTGCTTGTACAAGGCGTGGTTTCAGTATGTAAAATGCTTCAGTGAAGAGGAAAAGTTATTTGCAACGTTGAAATAATGGTTATTGTGTTGTTGTACTGTGTAATGAAAACAGTATTATCTCTGAAGTCTGAAATGAAAAACTATTTTTTTTTTGGCATTTGTTGTACAATCTTAAGATAGCTTAAGTTTAAAAAAGGAACAAAATTTGAGATGGGGGTAGTAAAAATCCATACACAGAATTACCTGTTATAATACACAATCATCCTTGTTTCAATTGTTAGTAATAATGTATAATGAAAGTTTCCATTCAATTCACTCAGAAAGTTATTATAAATTAAGATCTATGATTTGTAAGTGTGTCTACTATTTATAGAGTGTCCAGTAATCTGAGTCATCCTAACATCACCATGCCATCGCCTCAGGGAAAACGAGGTAAGACATTTGAAGGTTATGTGATACATTTGGGTGTAATCTCCCTTCATTTCCTTGATCAGCTTTAGCTTATAACTGTGACTGATATTAAAATGTATATTAAATTTGTGACTTTTTCGGTTATGTCATCAACTCTTGTGCTTCTGTGAAATGAATCACTGATTTTTGTGTACAAGAAAATTTGTTATGAATTATTGTGTACTTTTCAATATTATATCAGTAATTCTGATATACCTTTTTAATTTGTCTGTGAATTCCTTAGAAGTATTAAACTTTGTCATTAACTCTTGCGTACATTTTAAATGTACCATGGTTCTTGTGAACTTCGAGGATTTTGTCATCAACAACTTATATATTAAAAAAAATACTAACCATTACTGACAAAGATTTTTTATGTGTTGTTTTAACATACAGTAGTTTAAGTTTTATTGAAAAAAATTTTCAGTTCCAGAAATCCATGAACCCCCAGATGAGTCCCTGGTGACCTGGATGAAGGAACAAAAAATAGATGAAGAGTCCATTCATAGGGTAAGGTCAAAAGAAGCAGGGAAGAAAAGTATTGTTTATCAGGAAAAAAGAAGCAGGGAAGAAAAGTATTGTTTATCAGGAAAAAAGAAGCAGGGAAGAAAAGTATTGTTTATCAGGAAAAAAGAAGCAGGGAAGAAAAGTATTGTTTATCAGGAAATTTTCATCCCTCATTTATTTCATTTTCAAGCTTGTTTTCATCCATGAACAGGGAGGGAAGTTTAAGGAATGTAAGAGGGGGAAGGATTCATAAAATATATCCTTTTTATATAGTTTTCAGAGTGTGAATTGAAAATGAGGTGAATTCATATGTAATGGTACAAGGACAAAAATGACTTGTGGCAATAATTTTCGCTTAAACAGTAATGGCTAGAAATTTGTTCATATATCTGATAAATAAAGTGGAGGAAAAATTGAGGGCTTGCATACAGATGATTAGTACACACCTGTCATCTGTCTATATTTGTCAAATGACCAACCTATATTTGTGGTTTTTGTTAAAGATTAATTTCTATCAAAATTATAAAATAAACATTTGAAGTGGTAATATTTTGTTGTTTTCACATTAAGAGTATTTTTCTTACATGGCTTGTTGGTTTTGATGTCAGTCAGTCAAAGGTTAATATGTTGATGTTGCAGTATGTAATACATGCACTTCTTTCTAACAATCATAAAATGACATATGGAAAAGAAAATCTTTTTATAATTTTAGATGAGCGTTTAAAACTTTAATGGATTCCATACTTGTCTTACCCTACAGGTTACAGCTGAACAGTATACGTTAGAAGATATATTAGAAATTATTAATTATGAGGATTTACGTCAACTGAACTTACGGTAAGTCTGTAACCACTGAACTTACGTTAAGTCTGTAACCATTGAACTTACGGTAAGTCTGTAACCACTGAACTTACGGTAAGTCTGTAACCACTGAACTTACGGTAAGTCTGTAACCACTGAACTTACGGTAAGTCTGTAACCACTTATGGTAAGTCTGTAACCACTGAACTTATGGTAAGTCTGTAACCACTTATGGTAAGTCTGTAACCACTGAAGTTACGGTAAGTCTGTAACCACTGAACTTATGGTAAGTCTATGACCACTTATGGTAAGTCTGTAACCACTTATGGTAAGTCTGTAACCACTGAACTAACGGTAAGTCTGTAACCACTGAACTTTCGGTAAGTCTGTAACCACTTATGGTAAGTCTGTAACCACTTATGGTAAGTCTGTAACCACTGAACTTATGGTAAGTCTGTAACCACTTATGGTAAGTCTGTAACCACTGAACTTACGGTAAGTCTGTAACCACTGAACTTATGGTAAGTCTGTAACCACTTATGATAAGTCTGTAACCACTGAACTTACGGTAAGTCTGTAACCACTTATGGTAAGTCAGTAACCACTGAACTTACGGTAAGTCTGTAACCACTGAGCTTACAGTAAGTCTGTAACCACTTATGGTAAGTCTGTAACCACTGAACTTATGGTAAGTCTTTAACCGCTGAACTAACAGTAAGTCTGTAACCACTGAACTTACGGTAAGTCTGTAACCACTGAACTTACGGTAAGTCTGTAACCACTTATGGTAAGTCTGTAACCACTGAACTTACGGTAAGTCTGTAACCACTTATGGTAAGTCTGTAACCACTGAACTTACGGTAAGTCTGTAACCACTGAACTTACGGTAAGTCTGTAACCACTGAACTAACAGTAAGTCTGTAACCACTGAACTTACGGTAAGTCTGTAACCACTGAACTAACAGTAAGTCTGTAACCACTGAACTTACGGTAAGTCTGTAACCACTGAACTTATGGTAAGTCTTCAACCCATATTGTAACATAATGGTAAGTCAAAACAATAACTGGATAGGGTTGGACAACAGGTCTTGAATCAATGTGTTTGATTAAGGATACATTTTGTATAACATCTTTTCGCCACCAGGTGTGAGATAAACATTACAGGTAGGCTAGATTTTAATGCTGAGGATTTCAATTGATATTGCAGACTTTGGTGTTATTATATTAAAATCTAGTGTAGTATTGTAAAGCTTTGAATCTCTCTATGTTATTACCAAATGTCATTTTATCCTTGAGTGATTACCTCCAAATTCTTACCCTTGGATCAAGTATATTGTGTTTTACAGTCTTACATTCATACAGAGACTACTCAATTTACCACTGTCACATCATTATTTTACTATTTAGGTCACTATATAATCGAGTCTGTAGACAGTTTATATTTTAATTACACAAACACAGCCTCATTTCAAACTTGTAAAGTTGACAGGTATGTTATCCGTTTTTGAAAGTCAATTTAGATATGTGCAATCCCATTCTTTTCCATCGTTTTCTAAAATAATTTCGTATTCATTGTATCTATGTATCATTCTGATTTATTTCAGGGGTGGCATGGTGTGTCGTCTCTGGAAAGCTATAACTAAATGGAGATCAAAACAAAGCACATGGTAGCCGAAGATATCTATTGTGTTTATCTCATTTCCAAATATTTACATGTTTGACTGTGTGTGCTTTCCTCTTCTGAGTCACTAAAATACCTTTGCAGTGTCCTCAGAAACATTATGTATATAATAGTGTGCAGCATAGCTGCCAAACATTACCATGACTGTGATATTGACTGTAACTTGGAGTAGTGTTGCCCCTATGTTTTACAGTGATATAGGGCTGAAGATTGTATTTGAGACAGAAGTTTTGAAATGGAGGTAAAATAAACATCTAAATATTTCCTGTCGATGACACTCACCAGTGAATTTCATGATTGCTTTGTGTCTCCATCAGTCAGTCAAGTGTGCTTGATTACTGCTATCCGAAATATTCTTAGGAGTGAATTAGGTTATAGGTTACAAAATGCTCATAATGATGGTACATATATTGAACTGGTTTTTTGACTAACTTTTATTTTCATTTTTTTCCAAGAGAGCTGTGAGCTTTAAAGTAATATCTCAAACTTTTCCATTGATCTGGTGTTTTGTTATTATAACAGTATGTTTGTTCTGCCCCAGAGCAGTGAAGGGTTGTGTGTATTGTCTTAGACTAGTGTAACGTTCCGTACTATGAGAATATCCTGTGTGTGGAGGAATTCTAACTGGGTAATTAAATCAAAGATATTCTGACAATCTTCCTAATTCTATACCAAAAGTTCATCATTGTCATTGATTATCCTTAATGATGAAAGATTATGATAACAAGATGATGGTATGTTTTGAGACTGTAGAATTCCTTGTTTATGTATAGATAAGACTAACCAGTTGTTATATTCTAGTCATGAAAACCAAATGAAATATATGTATATATGTGACCTTTGGTAAATCTGGGTGGTTAGAAAAAGTGGGAGCAAAGATTCAAATTTTTTTGTGTGTGTGTTTTTCACTATCAGCAAGTCAGCTAGAAAGTTAAATGTGTGCCATAGGGTATGTAAGAGAATGTTTGATTAATGCTGAATGATGTATTTACTCTTTGTAAAAATTAAACAGACCGAGGGGCAGACAGACACACAGACAGACAGGTTGTAAGATTTTAATCTTTTTGAAGAGCATTCATTTTATTTCCAAGTAAAACTAAGGATAGGGCATATGAACATTTTCAGGCTTGACGTTCGATTTACAGGTCAGTTTGAGCTTACTGTATTGTACCTCCAATGAGAAAGAGCTCGTATTTGTGCAGTATTATCTAGACTTTTTGAGTTTCTAGCTTGTCTTTTATTAGAGATGTGTTTATTATAACTTAATTGTTTCAAATCCTGGTCAGACTTCTTCCCAGACTTCTTGGTTGTAGAGCTGAAAGTTATCAACAGTGCTTACATCCATGATATCTGTTGAGAAGTATTTGAAGGTCAAGAACCCTCAATGGTCATTTTAAAATGAGAAATATTGAGAAAACAGCTGTGAATTTTAATTTGTAAACACTTATTCTATGCCTTTATACAGGTGACAAATGGTTGGATTCTTCTTAAATTTGGAAAGGTTTCGGCACGCCGTGATATTTAAATGTTTGTACTTTTGTGCAAGTGAATTAGTGATTCAGTAATGGTTTGTTAGGGACTACCGGAGTCCCAGTAATCGCCCAGGCCATGTCTTTTTTTGGAATCTTCAACAGGAACATGTGTAGGAGTACTTTTTGGATGTAGTGTATATCAAAATAGACTTGATACCAACTATACAAATGTTCACTCTCTGACTATAGTATACCAACTATACAAATGTTCACTCTCTGACTATAGTCAGTCTGTGATACCAACTATACAAATGTTCACTCTCTGACTATAGTCAGTCTATGATACCAACTCTACAAATGTTCATTCTCTGACTATAGTATACCAACTATACAAATGTTCACTCTCTGACTATAGTCTATGATACCAACTATACAAATGTTCATTCTCTGACTATAGTATACCAACTATACAAATGTTCACTCTCTGACTATAGTAGTCTATGATACCAACTATACAAATGTTCACTCTCTGACTCTCTTATAGTCAGTCTGTGATACCAACTATACAAATGTTCACTCTCTGACTATAGTCTATAGTCAGTCTGTGATACCAACTATACAAATGTTCACTCTCTGACTATACCAACTATACAAATGTTCACTCTCTGACTATAGTCAGTCTATGATACCAACTATACCAACTATACTATACAAATGTTCACTCTCTGACTATAGTCAGTCTGTGATACCAACTATACAAATGTTCACTCTCTGACTATAGTCAGTCTATGATACCAACTATACAAATGTTCACTCTCTGACTATAGTTAGTCAGTGATACCAACTATACAAATGTTCACTCTCTGACTATAGTACAAAGTCTCAGTGATACCAACTATACAAAACTCTCTGACTATTCAGTCTCTATCAAATGTTCACTCTCTGATAGTCAGTCTGTGATACCAACTATACAAATGTTCACTCTCTGACTATAGTTAGTCAGTGATACCAACTATACAAATGTTCACTCTCTGACTATAGTTAGTCAGTGATACCAACTATACAAATGTTCACTCTCTGACTGTAGTCAGTCTGTGATACCAACTATACAAATGTTCACTCTCTGACTATAGTACAAATGTTCACTCTCTCTATAGTATACCAACTATACAAATGTTCACTCTCTCTAGAGTCTATATACCAACTATACAAATGTTCACTCTCTGACTATAGTTAGTCTGTGATACCAACTATACAAATGTTCACTCTCTGAATATAGTATACCAACTATAGAAATGTTCACTCTCTGACTATAGTCAGTCTGTGATACCAACTATACAAATGTTCACTCTCTGACTATAGTATACCAACTATACAAATGTTCACTCTCTGACTATAGTCAGTCTATGATACCAACTATACAAATGTTCACTCTCTGACTATAGTATACCAACTATACAAATGTTCACTCTCTGACTATAGTCAGTCTGTGATACCAACTATACAAATGTTCACTCTCTGACTATAGTCAGTCTGTGATACCAACTATACAAATGTTCACTCTCTGACTATAGTTAGTCAGTGATACCAACTATACAAATGTTCACTCTCTGACTATAGTATACCAACTATACAAATGTTCACTCTCTGACTATAGTTAGTCAGTGATACCAACTATACAAATGTTCACTCTCTGACTATAGTTAGTCAGTGATACCAACTATACAAATGTTCACTCTCTGACTATAGTATACCAACTATACAAATGTTCACTCTCTGAATATAGTTAGTCTGTGATACCAACTATACAAATGTTCACTCTCTGACTATAGTCAATCTGTGATACCAACTATACAAATGTTCACTCTCTGACTATAGTCAGTCTATGATACCAACTATACAAATGTTCACTCTCTGACTATAGTCAGTCTATGATACCAACTATACAAATGTTCACTCTCTGACTATAGTCAGTCTATGATACCAACTATACAAATGTTCACTCTCTGACTATAGTCAGTCTGTGATACCAACTATACAAATGTTCACTCTCTGACTATAGTCAGTCTATGATACCAACTATACAAATGTTCACTCTCTGACTATAGTCAGTCTGTGATACCAACTATACAAATGTTCACTCTCTGACTATAGTCAGTCTGTGATACCAACTATACAAATGTTCACTCTCTGACTATAGTATACCAACTATACAAATGTTCACTCTCTGACTATAGTCAGTCTATGATACCAACTATACAAATGTTCACTCTCTGACTATAGTCAGTCTGTGATACCAACTATACAAATGTTCACTCTCTGACTATAGTCAGTCTGTGATACCAACTATACAAATGTTCACTCTCTGACTAGTCAGTAGTGATACCAACTATACAAATGTTCACTCTCTGACTATAGTCAGTCTGTGATACCAACTATACAAATGTTCACTCTCTGACTATAGTCAGTCTATGATACCAACTATACAAATGTTCACTCTCTGACTATAGTCAGTCTATGATACCAACTATACAAATGTTCACTCTCTGACTATAGTATACCAACTATACAAATGTTCACTCTCTGACTATAGTCAGTCTGTGATACCAACTATACAAATGTTCACTCTCTGACTATAGTCAGTCTGTGATACCAACTATACAAATGTTCACTCTCTGACTATAGTCAGTCTGTGATACCAACTATACAAATGTTCACTCTCTGACTATAGTCAGTCTGTGATACCAACTATACAAATGTTCACTCTCTGACTATAGTCAGTCTGTGATACCAACTATACAAATGTTCACTCTCTGACTGTAGTCAGTCTGTGATACCAACTATACAAATGTTCACTCTCTGACTATAGTTAGTCAGTGATACCAACTATACAAATGTTCACTCTCTGACTATAGTATACCAACTATACAAATGTTCACTCTCTGACTATAGTCAGTCTGTGATACCAACTATACAAATGTTCACTCTCTGACTATAGTTAGTCTGTGATACCAACTATACAAATGTTCACTCTCTGACTATAGAAAGTCTATGATACCAACTATACAAATGTTCACTCTCTGACTATAGTCTGTGATACCAACTATACAAATGTTCATTCTCTGACTATAGTCAGTCTAAGCTTCTCCGTATAGAATTACTGCCATTGTTCACCGTTTATCAATATTCATTCCAGGACCTGTTGAGATTTCATTGTTGGATTCTGCATGCAGTGTCATGCAAGAGACTTGTGACAAGGATTGCTTTATGTATTCAGAGTTATAGCCCCATGTTTTACAAGTATACAAATGGATTCCTTTCAAACTCCATCTAGTTTAAAATTTCTCCCTATTTTTGCCAAATTGAATAACCAGATTTTTCAGGGCATTTTGTACTGAAAACACAGTCCTTAATCAGCATTTATATACAGGCTTTAGTGACGAATAAAAATCGAATATGCTACTTAGATTTCTCTGAAATGTCTCCAACAAGACGTCCAGGTAAATATACATGAAGACCGTAAGTCTTCCATAAGTTCCTATTACCTTACAATTTGTGTATAATTTTATGGAAACGTTTTTGGTTTTTAATCAGTGTGTAAGATTGTAATGTTTTTTTAAAGATGGAATCATTTTATGTTTCTTTGAATGTGAAGTTTCATTAACATGGGTAATTTGAACTTATTGAAAACAGGAATTAATTTCATCTGCTTTTAGATAGTTAAATTTCCTGTATTGAATTGAATATATATTCTGATTAATGTGCTATTAATTCTTACAATTCATCTGATTAGTGATTTGTTGTGATATTCCAAGTTCCATTTTGCTCTAAAAACTTTATAGAACGATGCAAAAAAGTAAAATCGCTTTTTTCAAATTCTTGTCCTTTTTTTTTTTTTTTTTTTTTGAATTATCGATTTTTGATGAACATGAGATCAAGAGAGTTTCAAACAAAATATAATTCCATTTTTTTGTTTTTTTGTTTTTTTTTTTGAGAAGAAGAAATTTCTGCAAAATATATTCAACAGAATTCTTGTGCATTGGTGGGAATTCATTTGAAATTGTATACTTTAATTATGAGTGACTTTGTAGAGAAGCACAAAGCAGGACTATGTGCTGCTGAAATACTTGGAAGAATTGGTAGAATTTCTTTAACATAATTAAAACCACCAATATTTAGGTAGTTTAGATAATATTTTTACCCAGTTGTATGTCCTGATTTTCTTAAGTGAGGAGTTTAGTTGATGTGCCATTGACATCAATTATTTTACTTATTTTTTTACCCTCAAAACATATTTAGGTTGATATATTTGATTTCAAATGCTGATATAGTTATTTCTTAATCAACTTGAATATAAGATATTTAAATCAGAATTCAATCAAATTTTAATTAACATATTTTATTATGAAACAGGAGTGGTCTTTGACTTTTAGCTCTCAAGGCCGAGTGAGTTATGGTGCCTGTCATCTGTCCAGCATCTTTTAATATTTATTGCAACTATAACTTTCCATGAATGATTGAGCAGATTTTAATCAAGTTTGGTCTGAAGCTTCCTTGGAAAGAAAGGAAACCAATTTTGTGAAAACAGTGGGTCTCAGCCCTCTGGGGTCTGAGGGGTGGGACCCAAAAGGGAAAAATCTATGAATTTCACTAAAAACTATCCTGTTCTTCAGGAATTGTAGAATGTTGTCCAAAATTGGTGTGAAGCATACTTGAGTGAAATGAAATTAGTGCTCTATAAACAGTGGGTCACAGCCCCTTGGGGTCAGAAGGTCGGGGCCCAATACGGAAAACTTATCAATTTCTTTAAAATTTGTCTTGTTCTTTAGGAATTGCAGGGTATTGTCCAAATCAGGACAGATTGTATTTTTGAAGCCATTGAGAATACCATCCCATAGTTTAATGGCATTGCTGGACATCAAGAGATTAACAACTGATCTCAGTCCCCAACCCTAGGGAACTAGAAGCAGTGTCTGTGGGATTAGGCTCATCAGAGGAAATATTTTTCTTTTGAAAGAAATGCAAGTTTTGCATTACTCACATAAATATCCAGGTGAGCAATACAGGCCCTCTAGGTCTCTTGTTAGATTAATATAAGTGTTGTATGAAGTGTAAGGAAATAAAAAAAATCTTTTTCCAAAATGACTACACATATTTTTATATCAAGAGATATCTTTTTAATTGCTTTTAATTGGTAAAAGAATATAACTAGGAATGCTACGAATGGAAATCCAAACTGTTGCTGTTTTTAGTGCCAGTTAGGACTAAATCATTTAGATACCATTGTTGAATTACAGTCTTACTCTATTTTATGAAGTATTTTGTGTTCATTGTTTGATGCTGTTCAGTTTTCAATATTTTCATGGTTGTATTTTACATTTATAAAACATGGCTTTAAGAAAAACATTGTTAAACTTTTTTTCTTTAGTGCCTTTTTCCCCATTAAGATGTACCTGTGGAAAGTGTACACACCAGTACACATC